ACCTTCCTGCAGAGTTCAGTTCCAACCCTGATCAAACACACCTGTCTGTAATTATCAATGGCTCCTTCAGATTCTAATTAGTTGGTTCAGTTGTGTTTGATCAGGGTTGGAGCTGAACTCTGCAGGAAGGTAGATCTCCAGGAACAGGGTTGGGCACCCCTGCTCTAGATATTTATATGCTGTATACATACTAATAAGAAAGAAAGAGCGAAGGAGAGGGTTTCTGTTTGTATCAAAGAACAATTGATCTCCTCCATTCGTGGCCTTCAGAATCTCACTCAGCTCTCAGAGGAAACACAATGATGAGACGCAAGCAATTAAAAAAAAAAAAAAAAAAATTCTAACCTGTACAGGCCCAGTCATTTTGTTTCTCCCTCCTGGCATCCCGTCTTCTCTGATTGCTGAAAAAGAGATAAAAAGTTATGTTTCGGACTGCATACTTCCATACTACAAATACTATTTCAACAATATTCAGTATATATACCGTGCACAGTGTTTTTGTATTAAATACTGGACGATTTATTATTATTTTCCAGAATGAGCACATCTCAAATATTATATCCAACAATGCAATTCTCTCAATATGTTGTTATATGTTCAATTTGATAAATTAACCAGCAATATCAACCAAGATTTTTAACGTCTCCTCTTGACTGATTTCTCAATGGGGCTGCAAAAATGTAAGATTTTTTTTTTTACATAAAATTGATTTAAAAAAATTACCCACATTGGTATACATGTAATGCATTATACAGCATATAAGCAGGTTGCTAGTATTGCAAATCAAATATTGCCAGAACAATGCAAGAGGAAGTTGGTGGTTGATCGAGCAATAAATACCAACAGCTCCCTCTGGTGTAAACCGCAGGCAAGTACAATCAACAGTGTTTGTCTTAGGCTAAAGCCTAGAAATTGTATATTATTTATATGTTTATGTGTGTGTGAGAGTTTTGCCCAGAGAAACAGACAGACAGGGACAGCATGCTCTGGATCAAGAAATCATCTGTTATCAGCATCGCAACCCAGATCTACTATCTGATTTCTGTGCATTATTTTCTTCAGGCATGCCCAATCAAACCCTGATCTATATCTCTTCATTTACATAGTAGAAAAATCAGATAGCTGCTTCTAATGAAGCAGCATCAAAGAGCAGATGAGGGGGACAGAGTTAAGAGGTAAATAAATACTAAATAGTGCATAAACCTTGAACATTTTGTTTTTGTGTTTCTACAAAAGACGTGCTGCATAATTAGGGTGAAATTGTAATTCTGAATGGATGTGTGTAAAAAAGGAGAAAGGAAAAGAAAAATAGCACAGGTAAAGATAAGAAAAAACAAGGCCAAAGCAGAAGATAAAAGGATGTTTTAGCTGATTAATAGCCAAGTTTTAAATATCTAAAGTTTTATAATATTTTTAGCATCAAAAACTTAAACTAAAAATAAATCATGGTTATTTTTATTTTCTTTTAGATGATGATAATGATGATAAAAATGTGCTTTTATTTACAAAATAACATTTTCATTTATACATAAATTATATATATTTTTTTATAATAAACTAGAATTAGAAATTAATATAAATTATTTAACATTGTTATTTTTAAATTATATTATTTTTATATTCATATATTATTATATCTTATTAATTAATGACTTGTATTTTAGTTAATGAATGTTTTATTTTTAATCAAATTTTCATTTTAATAATAATAATAATAATATCCTTGATTTAAACAGGTTTGTCACTGCATTTCTTAAGCACAGGTATGAATGTTAACATGCCCATGAATGTAAACATGTTGGATTTAATCAGGACAAAATCTGCTGGTTTGAATCATCATCACCCGTGTGTGTCTGTCTGTCTCTGTGTGTGTGTGTGTGTGAGGTTGTGTGTTGCTCGTGTTTCGCTCACCCTTGCGGTTCATTCCCATCTGAAGGCATTTCTGCAGTCTGCAGTACTGACAGCGGTTGCGTTGTTTGCGGGACATCTGGCAGTTCTTGTCTCTGTTGCAGCGGTAGATGCGCTTGTTGCAAATACTGCGTTTGAAGAAGCCCTTACACCCCTCACAGGAAATGATGCCATAGTGCAGCCCGGATGCCCGGTCCCCACAGATCAGACACCACCGCTCACCACCGTCCTCTACAGAGAAAGCAAGAGAGATGTAATTTAAGTACACGCAAATTAAAGAGTGAGGCCTCATTTTCAAAATTATCAAGGAAGTCCATAGTAATTAGTATTAGCTTTGTATAAAAACAATAGAAGTCTATGGTATGTCCTCATATAGATAGCTACGTAAATGTGTATGTGTTTTGCTGAGGTTATCAGATGTATAGTAAAACATGAATAATCTACTAAATAATACCTTAATTAAAAACTAAAAATGTCATTAAAAACAGATACATTAACACATTGATTTTATAAATATACTTATAAAAGAAAATACAATCTAAAAACATGTAAAAAAAATTTTTTAAAAAGAATAAAATATATAATTTTATGTTATTTTCACATAGTATTCAAATTAAATTAAATTAAATTTCAAGAAATATTATATATATACAGTGGGTACGGAAAGTATTCAGACCCCCAGATGTCAACAATTCTGTGTTTTTCTGTCAATATGGGGTGCTGTGTGTACATTAATGAGGAAAAAAAATTTACTTAAATGATTTTAGCAAATGGCTGCAATATAACAAAGAGTGAAAAATTTAAGGGGGTCTGAATACTTTCCGTACCCACTGTATATATATATATATATATGACAGTACAACATATTTAATGTTGTTTTAATGCATTATTAAATTAAAATAAAATAGTTCTCTTAAAGAAAATAAAATCTAAAAATGTAAAAAAAATTATGAAATAACAATAAAATAAAGTATATAAAAGTAACAAAATACATGATTTCATGCTATTACTAAAATACATTACTAATTAGTAATACATTACTAAAATAAAATAAAATATATGTATATTAAAATATTATATGTATATAATATAATAATACATTTTTCAGATAAAATCAAATTCTATTTAAGATATAAGAATATATTAAATATAATAAAGTAATAAAATGTATTATTTTGTGATTTTAATACAATCTAAAATATCAAAAATAATAAATTTAGTTATTTTAATACATGAATAAAATAACAAAAAGGGTTAGATTTTTTTTTCTGATATACACATCAGCATCAGTCAATGGGATATAAATATATGTGCAAACATAATCTGACAAAATAACCTTTTCCGTTAATATTAAGAACAGGAAAACAAGAAAGACACACACCGCTATCTCTGTGACATCTGATAGTAGGTTAATCTAAGTTTACTGAGCTGTTGAAATCATTGTAATCTCAAATGTATAAAGTTAAATAAAGTTCTAAAAGTTCTTATCTAAATCTCAGTGCAACAGAGAGCAGGATTACGCAAATACAGCGACCCGCGCACGCCAGGAATCATCTGCAGTCTCACTGTGCGTTTGAGATGACTTACAGCATCATGCAGCGTGACCCAGATTTCACTACAAACCACAGAGACACAGAGCTGACAGGAAGGGGGATGGGAAACAGAGAAAGTGAGACAACTGAATGAAATCTATATTTAAACAATATCACAGTCGCACAGATATTCAGTAGTCAAATTTTCCAAGAATATGTACAATTCCACGTACGGACTTTGCAATCATTATCCAAATCAATCTATGAATAGTTTTAACCGCCCAGATGAACGGATTCACAGAAATTAATCGGCTAAACTTGGCAGACATGTTGATTTCTCAAAAATGCTGGTGAACTGTAGAGGGAGCAGGTGAGTGTCGGGGTCACGGAAAGGTCTTCTAAAAGCCTGAGTGTCATAAACGGTTCGGAAAGCACTCAACCTAACCCTGAACTCTAGAGCCATTTTACAACCCTCAAGAAGGCCGTGTGTTGTAAGGGCACAGTATTGTGTGGATTGGGTCAAACCCAGGTCAAACTTTATAGCCAACGCCAACTATGGAACACACATTTTTAAAATTGAACAGGGTGACATACACAAACACACACATCCGCTCTCTCTCACTCCATCTAATGTGTCCGATGTCTAAATAAAAGCAATAATAGTTTTTTTTTTTTTTTTTAAATCACCCACAGGCTAAAATACTGGCATCTTTGTCATTATGCCACAAAAAATCTTATCACATTCTGACAGAGACAGAATGAGAAAGAGATAATAAAATAAAAGTGGTGGGTTACAAGTTTGCATCCCAGAAATCAGTCAAAGGTCTGATCAGACTCAGACAGCAGGGTGAACAAAACCATTTTAAATGCAAATAATAATATGAAATTACCCATATAATTGTTCAAAGTTTGCATACTAAAATCAGCATACAGTATGCAAATTTGTTTTTCTGACAATATTATGGACCAGCAGTCGGATCAGTGCAGTTTATTTTAATCTTAATTGGTTTTATGTTTGATTTTAAGGAATTCAAATCTAATCAAAAGATTTTTTAAATAAAAAGGGTTAGAATTTATGTATTTTTTCTGATATACAGTGGTGTGAAAAAGTGTTGGCCCCCTTCCTGATTTCTTATTTTTTTGCATGTTTGTCACACTTTAATGTTTCAGATCATCAAACAAATTTAAATATTAGTCAAAGATAACACAAGTAAACACAACATGCAGTTTTTAAATGAAGGTTTTTATTATTAAGGGAAAACTAAATCCAAAACTACATGGCCCTGTGTGAAGAAGTGTTTAACCGTTCTATCTGATTATTAAACAGACTTCTAAACAGAACTGTTAACGATGACAGCGAACAAGAGGAAGAATGTGAGCACTGTATGCTCAGGCACTGCCATTCTCAGCGCTGTCAAAATAAAAGTCTATTGTGCCGTCAAAATAACGCATCGGCCAAACAGGAAAACTTATCTGCAGATGCCAATATTTGAAAAATGCCAAATATCGGCCGATATATCGGTAGACCACTAGTAAGCACTGAGTGCATACTTTGTTTAAACTGCATGTGAAACAGTATGCATTATGCAATGATAAACATTTTAAAAACTCATACACTACTTTGTTGGTGCATGACCTCAAAAGTGCTATGAGCACATGCACTCTTATGCCCACCAAGGTTGCATTTATTTGATCAAAAATACATTAAAAATATTGTGACATATTAACATGAGATTGGTAGAAACTGTGCGTTATGTGTAAAGGAATTAAAATGTATACAAAAAGTATTATAACAATTGCGTTTATATTAGTAATAGAAAGGCAAACATTATAATACTTTCTCGTTTGCCATCAGCATTCAGCAAATACGCATTTATATCATTTAAACAAATCTTTGAATGACTAATGAACATTTAATTTCACAAACCTTGCAAACTTAGTCAGCTGTGAGATCTTGTGAAGTATGCATGTGACCTGCATGATCGCGTGTTCTCTGTGTGACGGTCGGTCCGTGCGAATTGAATGCGGACTGGAGGAGAGTTCAGCTTTACTGGAGATGCGCGATAGACAAACTTCAAACTCGTGATTTCAAATTATGCTGCACTTTATGCATTTGCCCACTGCCATATTCATGTCATTTTCACTGTGTGCTGTATGTAAAATGAGTGTTATCTTGGCTTTATTTGAAAAAATATTATTCCCAATGCACAAAAACTTCCCAGAATACTGAGTGCTGTTGGTTACAGTTTATTTCCTTTTTAATTATATTTTTATAAAATATTTATTTATTTGTGAAATAACATCTGAAGTATGTTTATTTGATACATTTATGTTTTTAATCCATTTTCAAATGATTTCAAATTTCTTAAATATTAATTAAAATAAATAAAATTATATTGGCTTTATATCAGCCATAGGACACCCCGCTTTCCAAGATATCGGCATCGGCTGTCAAAAAACCAATATCGGTCAACCACTAGTGCTTACTGCATATAGTATACTACGACTCCACTCTGAACAGGCCTGTGATTCTGCTGATCAGAAGGAACAGCCATTTCACAGTCAGCGTGTAATGATGATGCCGGCACATCTAGTTCACAGCAGGAGCAACATATCCCTTGATTTCCCTACATCCCTCTGTCATTCTCACTGCACGTCTGTCTATCCCCCGTTCATGCTGTTCTAGATCTGTCAGTGTGTATTACTGCCTCCTACATTCAGAAGCAATGGAAATCACAAGTCTTCTGTGTCTCTTGCTATCTTTCTAGCTTGTTTATATCACTCAGATAGTACCAAACCACTGAAAATAGGAAGTAATGGCTTTAGAGGAAAATGTTAATAATAAAATGACCAGATCAGATGTTATTTTATGCCATCGTGATTTTAACCTTAGCCTTGAAGTATCTGAAGATTGAAATATCTGAAGATGATGATAGAAAATATACATTTAAAAATCAACATTTCAGCAATCAATAATCCTTCATATTGGTTTCTAGTCTTATTTAGCTGGTTGGCTAAATAACCAAACCATTGTGCATGCTAAACTTATAGTGATACTAGTGATACATTTATCCCACCTAAAACAACACATTGAACCCTTGTTAAAAAAAAAAA